CATTAAAATATCATTATAACTTTTAAGCAGTTAATAAATGAATAAAGGGAAAGAAACCAAAATAACAAATAATTTTCTAAATCATATTTAGCATGAATACAAGTGTTGCAAATTTATTATTCTATAGGTAAATTAACAATTGAACAATCTGATTCTTGTAGCTAACTTTTTCATAGCCCTGTGTGAAGACTAGTAATACTACTTAGTCGTTTTGACTTAGATAAACGCAACAGGTACCAAATCTATAACTCGATGGTATGCAATTAAATATCTCAATCATTAATCCATTGTACTAACTGTATAAGTCAAACGGAAATACACTATCAAGACATCTTGTTTAAATTAATGATTGGTGCTGAAATTTAAACAATTCTTGAAGACCAATAAGTAACATTCGGATCAACTACAAGATATTTGTAGCTTCGAAAACGGTTGTACCATAGAATAGTGTGAATTTTATCATTAATTAGATCATTCACTAGGTACCTAGGTGATTGCTGATAATACACGGTTGCCCAAATCGAAGTAGGCGGAGTAGGGTTTGAACTTATGACAGACACTTTAACCACTAAACCACCATTCCAATTCAAGATACTTAGCGATAGTAGTAACTATACTAGTCAAGTTGGTTTAATAAAGAAACAGTTCTAAACGTCTGGTACACTTAAATATACTGTAAATTCTCCAAGTATTGAATTTATAACATTACTTATACAAATGTAGTTGAATAGAATTTTGTTCGGTTATTTCAAATGATATAATCGATTTAGAAAGTTACTGGTGGTCAGATTAAAAAACGTTAATCTTGTTAAATCTTAGTATCCGTTTCTATTACCAATCGAATTAACTTCTACTATTGTAAGGATGAAATTTTGTAAAGTAAGCAAAACAAATGTGATAGTAACATATTTCCATTTGATGTAACTATATATATATATATATATATATATATATATATATATATATATATATATATATATATATATATATATATATATATATATATATATATATATACATAAATATGGAAAATTTTGACAGTATACGAAATCCACTTGTACATCACGCAATTATGTAGAAACTGATAAAGCTTTTAAGATATATGCCTTAATATAACCAGTAAAACAGATATCATAAATTAGTTTGCCTAATATTGCTATAAATTAAAACGACTCCAATTTTCGCATTTATACATCATTTGTTTATGTACATCATTTCAAGGGGAAAAAATCAAGTTACCTCTTTTCTGGTTATGACACTTCATTATTGTTTGTAGTGTGTTAACATTCTTTATTGCACCACGTTTTCTTCTTCTTTCGATTTGTACGACACTAATAATCACATATAAATTAGGAAAGAAACATCTACTTACAACTGGAAATTTCTTTCCTGTTGTCCAATAAATATTTCTTATATTAACTTGGAAAGTTGAGGTGGATAAACAAGGAGAATAGATTCATGTCACGAAATATATGTATATACACCGTAGTTAGATAATTGAAGGCTAATATATTGTATAAAATATGATCATACTTGGTTTATAAGCATCTCAAGCTATTCACTAATCACTCAAAATGAATGTCGAAAGAATTCTAAATTACCCTCAATATGTCCGCTAAGTCATGCTGGTCCCACCAACCAATAAGGAAATTAATATCGATTCTATTGTAGACATTCAACGCCTAAGTAATATGCGATTCTTACCTTTGTAGGTTAGCATTTAAAAGAGGTTTGTTTATGTTTGCAACAATCGAATATATCATGACAAAATTCTAAATACTCTAATATTCCCTTCCTACTACTGTGGTGCGTGCTAGTTATGTTGATATAAGTAGTATATGACGCGAGTCAGGAATGTAATGTCTGGCAGCAGAAGATGAGAAAGATCAAGAAAGGAAGAGCGGGAATAGAAAGCAATTAGTATGGAAATGCAATAACAACGAAGTTCGAGACAATTATTGAACATTTTGCAAATTCAGTATTATCGTATGGTTTTTCTATTTTACCAAGTAACTGTAATTTTGTGCTAAACATGTTCGGTTGTCCTCACCTGTGTTCTCCTTCACTACACTACTAATACTATTACTATAGGACAAGGCACTGGCACAAGGATTGAATGTTTATTGTGAGAAATTAGTGTTTATATGATACGCATGCATAGCCTTCGATCTTCCATTTGCATCTTTTGGTGTGTTCTGCAATCCAAACTATCTTCGAACCTGAACTTTATGTATTCTACCTACTCATGCTTTGATGTACTGAAACTCTTCGCGGCATCTGATGGCTATGACAGCTTAGAAGCCACGTTCCACTATATATACTACTTACATGCAATCTTGGGATTAGCGTTCACTACACTACTACTGCTACTATGACTAATGTGATGAAAAATTTCCAATTTAAGGAACAAACAAAACCTATATCATAGACAAAACAAACAGAGTGTGCAATAATTACAATTTACACACCAACTTCTTTGAATACAATCGTTTAAAACAAAAAAAAATCCAACGGTAAATTTTACTTTCTAAATGTTTATTTTAGTGGAAAAAGAAAGCTTAGTAAGTAATAAAGTATTACAAAACAATCAAATATTAAATAGCTACACATTCAGAGATTAGAAAACAATAAGACTCCCCAAAGTACAAATCATCAGTTAATTCCATCTGAGAAATGTGATCAGTGATAGAGCCTATTAAAATGTATATTAAAAACTACTAATAAACTAACAATAACACTAATATGAAGAATCATACTACCACATAGGCTAATAAGATATACGAAAACACCTGAGTACTCGTTGAATCAATACGCTTATCACAAAAAGCACTCAGATTACAGTTTAAACGTACGGCCGAGAGTAGGGAGTCCGCTCTACCTTTCGAAATGCTCTCACATGGCCACGCGTATATAGCCTGTCATGGAAGTCCTACTCATTGCCTTTTCGTGGCAGGGGTGCTGTTTACGAAATTGAGAGGACGAAAAGCGAATTTCCGGCGCTTTAACCGGGTTGGTGGACACGGAGAGTCCACCTAGGGAGGTCCGAAAACCCTGATTTCAAACCAATGGTGCACATAGGCTCCAGTGTCTTGAAGGAACAAATGGCGTATGAACCGATCGTTGGTCACCGGCTACCATGGGAATACATCTCCTTGTGAATCAGACCTTCAAGTCGAAGGCTCCGGGTGTGGTCCCCTAAGAAAACCACCTGCTTCGGTTTGGGCAGCCGGGTAGTATCACAGCCCTCACACATATGAAATGAGATCTGTGTGGCGCATATGTATTTGGTGCCTCTATATGAGTTCACCAAATATTTACAACAGATCGTGAACTACTATCTAGGATTCTTTGTATACATTAATTTGTAATGATTCGATGATTGACAAATAGGATGAAACGTACATCCTAAATTTCAGTGCTAGTTATATCTCATCTACTGATTACAATTCTATATATTGTTTGATTAGTTTATTTTTCTACTGTCCATTAACATAAGTATCCTACCACCAACTATGAACTCATTTAACCTATCACCTTCCATGATCAAACGTTTACAACCACCGAATAAATTATCGACATCATAACATCAAACACGTTGAAATTGTGTAGCTGCCTTCATAAATACAACAAAATAGAATATATATCAAAATTTCTTTTATTAAAAAAAAAAGAAGAAGAAGGAAAGTATTCTCCAGAAATAGTACAAAATGTAAATTACAAATATAAGTAAGCAAACGTTGTGTATCAAATAATGGAATTAATACTTGCTAGTGTTTAGATCTTGTACATGATAAGTACTTTGTTGTTTGTATTGTTTTGTTTATTTTCCATTTTAATTGTGAAAATCATAAACATACACTATGAAATACATTAAAATAAGACAAGTTATACAAAGAATAATAGCACATGTGTTATTAGATTAATTATGATTGTAACTTCAATAAGTTATATTCTTCTATTCATAACATAAAAGATAAGTAGTTAAAGGGAATCAATGAAAAGAAATTTATCATACAAGAAATGGGATCACTGATATAAGTGATCTACTATTGAAAGTAAATGTTGGTATAATTATGAACGTTCGTTTTTTTTATTTTAATTTCGCTAATAAAATCATACAATTGAAGAAGTATTTACTTTTTCGAACATCATTTTACACATTTATGATAAAACAATGGAAGTCGTAATATATATATATATATATATATATATATATATATATATATATATATATATATATATATATATATATATATGTATTGTCTCTAAAGGTTGAATTAATATATCCTTATTGAAACATTGTATAACTATGCCATCAATATAAACAATAATAAATTAACAACATACTTACAAAATAGTCTTATACAAGGTTATCACTTCTTTATTATACACACATATACATATTATAAATGAAAATGATAATACAGTTGGAAATGATTGGAAGTATCCAAATACAACATCTTCAATATTCAATAGGTTTATAAATGAAACAAGCAAGATACAACGAAACAGTCGTCAACAAAATCATCTACTTGAACCAACAACAAAAAAAAGAAGAAAAAAACAAGAACAGAACGAGAATAAAGTAAATTGAATATAGAGAAGAACAAAAAGAAAAATCTATTTTCTAATAAATTGACCAGAATTACTTAATAATTAATAAACATTGAAAAAAGTGTTTTTCAGTACAAATAAATAAGATGGTAAGGTGAAAGGTAAGAATGTAAAAAAAGAGAGAAAAAAACAAAAAACAAAACGTGTTTAACCACTGAGAAAAGGTTCATGTTTGTTTTTCTCTTTTTCTATCCGTTAGTTAATACTTACAACAAGAGAATAAATATAACTATACACACGAAAGAACTGATGTATATAGCTGTTATTATAAATAGCATGTATATATATATATATATATATATATATATATATATATATATATATATATATATATATATATATATATATATATATATAATAAGTATGATTAATACAAATAGAATAGTTTATAAAATAAATACACCATTATTAATATCATTAAATAATTGTTGATCTACTAGTTGATAAACTTTTGTTTTCGGATTTAAAAAGTATACATGATCATTTGGATCAATGTTTGGATCGAAACCAAGGCGACTGATTTCTGCTTTGCTAATTTTAAATGTACCTAAATAAAGAATAAAATAATAAACGAGATTTTAAAAAAAAAAGGCGGAATGAAACCATTTTTTAACAATCATAAATTAAACTTCATTAAGAATACAATTAATCTCAAATATTCATATGAAAACACGTTCATATAAAGTTTTTACAATGTTGTTATATTATTAAACAAATTTGATAAATGTTCAATTCATGTTCCAATCAACAAGAGGTTAAAAGAAGTAAAAATTCATCCAGTCAGTCATCTACAATGTAGGACCAGGCAAATGTATGCATCGGTCAAAGTTGCCATACTGCATTATCACAACAAGATCAACATCAAATTCATAGAAGTAGTTAATTCAATGGTGGTAAAATATAAAAGAAAGATTGCATAAAAGAATATGGTACAAGAAGACAGAATTATTTCGTAGAAAGAAAGATATGGAGCGATTTTAATCTCTTAGTTTAAAGGAAGATAGTGTGTATACATCTATGCCATTGTGATCGATTCCGAGCCATGTCACCAAAAGTTTCCAACCACAGGTTACGATAGTCACGCGGACCACAACCAAGTTATATCGAAAACTTGTGAGTAGTGGAGGCCCTGAGAATGCATCTTTTTACCGCCGATCTCACTACGATCCTAATACTATTACTATGATCATCATCATTGATAGAAGTAGAAGTAGTAGTGATTATTAATATTTTATAATTTTTATGAACATCTGTTCGTCTTTTCTATACTTTTTTATATTCGTCAAACAGTCAAGTATCATTTCATAATTTTTACATATAATACCATTCCATCTTACTCTTCCCTTCTATAAATCCAGTGTTCGTCTTGCAGTGCTAATTGAGGTGTGTCAACTTGAACCGATGCATGTATGCGCCTGATCCTACGTTGTAACTGACTAACTCTTACTCTTTCTCAGTATATAAGTTACCTGTACATTGTTACAATGTAATTAATAATATTTTGTTCAAATACAATCAAACTTCCTACTTAAGTCATTTGAAAATAACAAATTTCATTGATAACACAAGTTATTTCCAGCTGACAATAGTAAAAAAAATTGATAATGCATTATCATATGTAACTTCCTAATTAATAAAACAAGTAAATGATAAAATGGATATGAAATTAGAATGAATGTTTGAAATACATTTTGTACTAACTGTTCCCGATATATTTAATAGTATCTATTATCATCTGTTATACATTACGTTTCTGTAAATAAACAACAAACAAACATTACTTCAAATTCAATGTAGCAACAACAACAAGAACAACAACAAAAAATCAATAACTCAATTAAAGGTTTGTTTATCATTTTTTTGCCAATATCATAAAATTTTCATGGTGTGTGTGTGTGTGTGTGCATGATATCTTTTTGTAAAGCTTAAACATTATAATAAACTATTCCAAATGTTAAAAACAGTGCAATAAATATTCAAGTTTAATTCTTTCGTTCTTTGTTGTCGCTTTTTTTCTCTCTAATTTTGAAAATGGAACTTAGTTGTGTTTTCCCTCTCGTTTTTCTCTTGAACAGATATCTTTTATTATCAATAAATAAAGCTTTAATAGTAAGTAATATATTGTGAATTCATAGAAAAAAAAAACAAAAGTTGTGTTTTGAAAAAATGAGAAAAAAAACAACAGGACTTTAGTACGTGAACATGAATGTGACAAAGTTTAATTATCACCTTAGTTGCTCTTTTTTTTTCAAAATTATTATTATTATTATTATTATTATTATTATAGTGTAATGTGGTATTGTGGTGTATGCAGATATAAGTAGTATATAACACCAGTCGGAAGTGGAATGTCTGTGAGCAGAAGATTGAAATGAAAAGTGTGTAGAAAACTGAAAGCAATGAAGATAACAACAGGAATGTGGGAACAATGAAGCCTGTAGAAGACAATTCAAAGATGTATGATTTTCACATTTTACTATACCACTGAGTGATTATGCATTGAACAGTAGATTAGTTTTCCCCACCTACGTCTTCATTTATAACAGTATTATTATTTATTTTATTTTATTTTAACACAGATATTGGTAAAAAGGGGCACTGTATACATGTGCCCCACACAAATCATTCGACTTGTGTTAGGGCTGTGATACTGCCTGGGTGCCCAAACCGAAGCAGGTGATTTTCTTAGGGGAACACACACGGAGCGTTCGACCTAAAGGTCTGATGCACAAGGCAGTGGAGCATCGTAAGAAAGTGCAGTCCCATGGTAGTCGGTGACCAACAATTGGTTCATACTTCATTTGTTCCTTCAAGACACTGGAGCGTATATGCACCATTGGTTTGCAATCAGGGTTTTCCAACTCTCACAGGTGGACTTTCCGTGTCCACCAACCCGGTTAAAGCGCCGGAAATTCGCTTTTCGTCCTCTCAATTCCGTAAACAACACCCCTGTCACAAGAAGGCAGTGAGTAGGACTTCTTTGGCAGAGGCTATGGCCATGTGAGAGCATTTCGCGAGGGTGAGCAGACTCTCCCCACTCTCGGCCGTACCATGGCATTTGGGTGAAATAAATTCCTACGTAATTATGTCATATCAAAGTAAATGTAATATGAATTTACAGTTCTTAATGACATTTTTATCAACAGATTAAATGAATTCAAACTGCACATAGACAGACAATATCAATATAAAACTTGGCACAGATGTGCGTTGGCCCAAACTACCAAACCAGATTACCATAACGAGATGAAAATAAGAAAAGAGACCGAAATAATCTAGTAATAATAACGATAAAAAGAAGGACTAAACCAAGGGAATATGGTTTTTAAAAAGAAGTATTCAGGTATGTATGAAAAATCGTAGAATTAATTAAAGATTGAAGGAAAGATGCGGAGTGAATGTATCTGTGTTATATTGCACTTTATAGTATTTCATGATGACTGATTGAAAATAATCCAGATCGCAGCTTGGATGTTTTTTTTTCTACTGAACTACATCAATACACTTATCAGTTGAACTACTATGACTGAATTACATATGACCAATCAACATCTAATTGGAACATATTAATTCATCGTATTACATGTGCATAAGAATATGATCACATTGACAGTAAAAAATACCCTTCACATGAAATAGTAAGTTTTAAAAAAAACATAAACTCGAAATTCAGAGAGTAAACTAACAATTAAATTGGTGTGTATAACTCCCCGTGAAACATAGAAATATATCAGCCGGACAAATATAAACAATAAATGATTCGGCACTGGATATGTGTCAGTGTTCTTAATATATATGCAGGATCGATGATAGCGTACTACTGCACAAAAATTACAGCAATCTATCTAATGAATGGATATGAACAAAAGTATCTCTAGTGAAAACCATTTGACATATTCAATTTATTTAATAGGATACAGTGTGATGTATGCTACTTATAACGACAGACATAAGTAGTATGTAACAGCAATCGAAAGTGGGAACCTTGGCAGCAGAAGGTTAAGAAGATCAAGATGAAGAAAATACAAGGGGAAATAAAAAGGAATTGCCAATAGGAAGAATCATATTTATTTATTCATCATTTATTTATTTTAACATATAAATATTGGTAAAAAGGGGCACTGTATACATGTGCCCCACACAAATCATTCGACTTGTGTGAGGGCTGTGATACTGCCTGGGTGCTGAAACCGAAGCAGGTGGTTTTCTTAGGGGAACACACACGGAGCGTTCGACCTAAGGGTCTGATCCACAGGGCAGTGCAGCAACGTAAGGAGATGCGGTCCCATGATAGTCGGTGGCCAACAACAGGTTCATACTTCATTTGTTCCCTCAGGATTCTGGAGCCCATGTACACCATTGGTTTGGAATCAGGGTTTTCCAACTCTGTGTCTACTAACCCAGTTAAAGCGCCGGACATTCGCTTTTCATCCTCTCAATTTCGTAAACAACAATAATGCCGCGAGAAAGCAGTGAAGCACAAATGAAATAATCAATGTGCGGTTCTCATATTTTACCAAAGTGTTATGTAATTTTATACAAAACTAAATTTGGTTGTCCCCATCTGTTTTCTCGTTCATTATAATAGTAGGATTATATTACGGTTTTCTTTTTTACTACACTCAAATTTATAAAAGGAAGTACATAAATGAAGCATTTAAGTCCAATATTGAGTTTTAATAAGATTTTAGAATTAAGTCGGTTTATTACAATCAAGTTCAATTACGTAATAGGTTCACTTACACAGATCACATGTGTCGTGTCACAATATTATATAACGTGGATTAAAAGTGCAAAATTAACAATAAAAATCAGAACGATTTGTAAAGAATAGTTTTATTACACACTATCTATCACTTACTCTAGACTAACATCACGGCGGTGCCAAAGATGGCGCAGATTGGTACATGGCGCTCTGGCTTTCACTATATGTGAATTGATCTCATCACTCATTCTACTATCAGCTATTCAGATACACGAAATCGACTATTTCTAACTGCTTACTACCAAGAGTGAATGAAGATGCAGGGTCCTGCCAGTCTTGTGAAAGTACTTTGCACTTCGAAGGTGCAAACAACATACCATTCCTACAGATACTTATTTCCAACTGATTAACTGCGGATTGCATGGCTTGAGTATTATCGCACAGCAATACAATGTCATCCGCATATTCAAGGCCGAGTTTTTCTCCAAGCAACAGATCTACACCACTGTAACCTACGTCGATTAGAGCTGTTTTCAGAACGTCATAGATAGCAAAACTGAACAGTAGTGGTGAGATTGGGCAACACCAATGTTTGAATGGAATCATAGAGAGGGATGGTTGCATGCACTCAATCTGCCTAAGGTATTTGTATGTATGGCCTTCAAGCTGTCAATAAACTTCTCCGGTACACCCTTCTTCAATACACAGTTTCAATGAGCAGCCCTATCCAACGAATAGAAGGCGGCCCTGACCTCAACAAAAGCAGAGATTGTTGGCCTGCAATAAGTATGGCGGTGTTCTAACATTTAGCGGAGAGCTTGGATTACATGACTTGAAATCAGTTGTAATGGATCATTTACATTCATTCTCCAATTCATGAATCTCGAGCTTAATAACACTAAAACCTTTTTATTCTTCGGTTTTATGCGTTCATTTTAACTCTCTTACATTGAGTGATGTTTTTATTTGTTGATTTCATTGTACTGTGTTGATGTACAGAAAGGCAACTTGAACTGCTCTAAATATACGCTGAATCTTAGATTGTTAATACTAATGATTTACATTTTCGAAACTGTTCAAACAATTCACTGAAAATCCACTAAAACACATAAACCAACATGTCCGCGACTAAGCATCTGGGGTAGCTTCTTAGTCTTTTCTTTTTTTTGAGATAAACTTACCAATATTTTTCGCTTATAATTTAAATCTAAAGAACTTGATTTCATAAAATACGTAGATTTGAGATTAGTAGTGAAATTCAGAACACGCGTCTAGTTTTATTTGAGACACGCCGGATGCGTATACCTGCATCTAAATTTATGTTCACAGTGGGACTCAAGCCTGGAACATTTCGTTTCAAATGCTACTGAGTCCAGTGCTATTAGAACAGTAGCGATTTGTCTATTTCTTTGTATTACTATTAATACTATCATATCAGTATAAAGATGTAGGCTTGATCACATGTGACAGCCTACGCACATAACTCTCTAGCTTAAATGTTAGTCAGTTAAATATGCTTGAATCCTTTTAATTGCTTAGCTTTGATTTGATTGTGTATTCACTTGCTCGTGAGCATTAGCTTTTCTGCTCACATTCACTTGAGGTGCTTGTAAGTTTTTTATCTGAACTCACCATTAATAAACTGTAGTCGGTGTTTCGTGTTGCTTTTTGAATTCAGTGTTGGAATTTAACGGTTATCAGGACAATTGGTATAAGAAACCTAAAGAATTGTCTCGATAACAAGCCACTCAGGATATAGAGGATGAGATTCACACAAGTTTTAATAATGACACTAATAAACTTGGATTTGAGGAAAATAAAATAAAAACCTTCTGATATGAGCTTAGATAACATCATATGGAATATAAACCTACCTACACAAAAAAGAACGTTTAATCAGTCACATAGAAATTATAATAATGAGTAAAAAAAGAAGTGAATTGAACATACCAGTCATCGTCAGATTTTGACACAACCGTATGAATAGAGGACGTGCATAAGAAGGCAAGTTCCCTGTAAACTCTTCATTTATTCGACAAAGCAAATTTTCTTCCTCTATAGAAGTAAGTTTTGATCCTTCTAATGCTATAGCAGCCATTCCAGCTTTCCCCTCTGTCCCAGGAATAGAAACACCGAATACAGTCCCAGTTAATGTTCCAATAGCTTGATCTAAAACACGTTCAACTTCTGAAGTGGATACATTTTCCCCATGCCATCTAAATGTATCACCTAACCGATCGATAAAGTACATATAACCCAATTCATCACAACACATTAAATCCCCTTAAATTAAAAGAGAATAAAAATGAGTTTAAGTATTTTCTTTATGGGCCAATTCAACCAAGGAGTAAATTTTAGTCTCAAAAATATAATTTATGAATAGTAATTTTGTATGATCTATTTTTGAAAAACAAACAAATTTGTATTTAACTTTTGTCAAACAATTTATTAATATCAGATGGGTTTTTTTTGTGGAGGTTGTAGTAATTTCAATAGTTAAGATCATGAGTCAGTGCTTCCAGATTTTTCATGGTGGTCTAGCTTCAACTGACTTATGATCTTAACCATTGAAGCAATTTATTACCAAACTGTCTCTTACATATTACCATATATATTTGAGCACAGTTGTTATAAATCACATCATCGCCTGACTAACCTTTTAGTAACTCTCACAGATAACATTTTTGTCACCGGATTAATAATTAACATCGGATCATACTAGTAATTATTATTTAAATATTTATAATTCATTATCGATATGTTTCACTAACAATAACATTACTTTTAGAGCTGAAAAAGAAACAAATTATATATGGTAACTTAAAATTCAAAATAAAGCTATTTGCGATGATGAAGATTTGTAGCTCAAATGGATGATTTAGGTGAAGTTCTATTTTTTGAGCTGGATGATTTAGATGTGAATGATGTTGTTCAGAAGAACAATTAAAGCTCCACAACCAAACCATCCAGTTCAAAGAACACAACTCCACCTAAAACCTATGTACATCAAAACAGTGTATTAAAAGTATCATAATTTGAAATAGGTTTACTCCTTCCTTCGGTTACAATTAAAACTTCATATTGATTTATGTTTAATTAAAAAACATTCGACAAATTCAAAATTGATTTTAAAAAAGTGATAACAATGTTGTATGGTTTAGTAGTTAAACCAAAGGACATTTAATCTAATAGGGTAAAATGATTCTAAGATTATTCATCTACTTCCGTTTGAACAAATCAGTAACAACACAAACTGTGGTTCAGAGCTGAGTACAACATATAGTATTAGATGGAGTTACAGTGAGTTAAAGTTGATTAAGATTGTAGGTTGATAAGTCGTGTAGGTTGAACGCTATATACGGTTCCTAAGCTATTTCGGTAACCCCCAGTCTAGAACTACACAGCGACTTGAACTCCAGAGAGAAGACACAAGAATGAGAGAAAGCACTTTATTCCAAGGTTCATTTTTGTACAGAAAATCATGGGTATTTATAGATTTTGGGATCTGTTAAATCAACATCATTTTACAGCCAATCCGATAACAACACATTATGCTACCGACCAATAGTAGCACGCCACGTTGGAATTCTAGAACGTTCCATCACACTCTGATTGGCCAGGACTCTTCGGCTCCTTGTGGGCCTCTGGAGGCTCCGTTGAAGTTCTCCGGAAGCCGACCCAACATAGGTATCATTACCAATGTTTGATTTGATAATTTCGAATAAATTAAGCATTGGGTAGATTGTTATGTTCCACTGTATTATTTAAACTTGGATTAATTTTAATTTGGATATTTATTCTCTGAAGAAGTGGCTTACACTGAGTCACGAAACGTAAGAAAATCTATTTTTTTTCCTACTTATTGGGATATTAAAAATATATTATTTCTCGTTGATTAAGATTATTTTAATAAAAGTACGAATGGATTAATCACGAAGTATTTATTCGAACCAGTAATTAATATAACACAACATAACATTAGGTATGTACGTAACACATTCGATACTGTGATATTACTATGATTTTAAAATCTATGCCAGTACTAATTAGCAACGTTACCAAGAATTATTCCAAGCACAAATGTGAATCTAAATGATTAAACATTCACAAGACCAAAACTGGTGTCTGAAGTAGCAGTCAGTCAGCTACAACATGGGATCAGACACATATATGCATCGGTCCAAGATGCCATACCTCATTAAAACAACAAGATCAACATCAAATTCATAAAAGCAGTTAATTCAGTGGTGGTAATATATAAAAGAAAGATTGCAATAAGGATATAGTACAAGAGGGAATTACTTCGTAGAAAGAAAGATATGGAGCAATTTTAATCTCAGAGTTCAAAGGAAAACAGAGAGTGTATACACCGACGCCATTCTAATCGATTTTGAGCCATGTCACCAAGAGTCTCCAACCATTGGTTACGATAGTCATGCGGATCACAACCAAGTAGTCTGCATCTAGCAACATGGCTCAAACTAGAAGTTAGTGACTTCAAGCACTGATACCACGTTTTGGCTTGGCTGCCCCTAACTTTCTTCCAACCATCCCCAACACCAATACGCATTGTGCGTCGTGGTAATCGGTGGTTGGGGATACGTAACACGTCGATGAAGCTTCACAACCTCATTAATTGATTTACCACTATGTTTGAAGTAGCATGATTAAAACGTCACAAAATAAGTTTAGTGGAAAGAATTTTTCTTTCCCAATTAGTTCCTCATCAAGGCTGTACTCTAATACATAAGCTCTACAATTCAGGATAAAATTAAATGCAAATAAATGACGGTTGATCATTTCAGCAACGAATCAGTTAGATACTCAACGGATGTAGAATTAAATCTAAAGATAAGACCACATAATCGGTTAATCAATAACAACTTGTTACGTAAGAATAAGAATTAAGTTCGTTCGAAATTAAGCAATTGAATATAAATAGCTGATGTTATTTTGTAAAATTATCAGTATGTAATTAATAAAATTGCTGCGAGAAAATAAAAATTACACAATTAGACTATTAAGCTAGATAGATAGATCACGTAAAATAAAGTTATAAATTAAAACTGAATAGAACTGAAATCGATTAACGTCCTTAAGTATTGCACATTGAATAATGTTTGATAGTAATTATATTCTATATCTTGTTCAGTAAGGTTTCAACAATAGTGAAAATACAAGTGACAAATGTGTTATTAGTCAATTATTCAACTTGTTTACGACAGTTTTTAGCAGGATTTAATCAAAACAGTATGACCATGAACAACATAGGTAGTTACATTCAGTAAATTTATAAATGCATGCATAAATAGGCTGTAATAAGTGTTCGCGCGCGAGATCAGTAGGTCCTGAGTTCGAATCCCGCGGGGCGGGATCGTGGATGCGAACTGCTAAGGAGCCCCACAGTAGGACGAAACGGCCATCCAGTGTTTTCAGGTTTTCCATGGTGGTCTAGCTTCAATTGACTCATGATCTCAACAATTGAAACTATTATTACAATTAAGATTTAACCAAAATAGCACAATGATTAAGAAATTATTAACAGTTTGTTTCTACCTCTTCTCTTATTCTTTGATTGACCTAATAACCTATATTATCACTTGTATTCTAAGACTATACAAACAAAATGTATTGAGTTATGTTTGTCCATACGACACTGCTTATTGAAATATAAGAGTTTTCTCAAAAAGACTTACCTCTTACACTGATTGATCACTGAGTATTGATCAATGTTATGTTTATCTGACCTTTATTACTGATCGAATTTTATTGATCAAGCTACAATGTATCCACTAATCTACATGACTGGTTATCATGTGCACTATTTTTATAGGTTAGGTGATCAGAAGTAACAGGTAGAAAACCGTGAACCTAGGTATCGTGGTAATTGGCATTCGTCCGCACATTAGCGCTCATAAAAGAAGTGTACCTGTTACACATCCCTATACTCAAAAACATTGTTAACAAAACGTTCAAAGAGTAATTGTATTGAAACAAGTAGCATTTCAAAATAAGCTCACAAAATAGCAATGATATATATTTAATAACTTCTTACCAGAAGCAAACCATAAATCACCCTTACGTAAAACATTTCGAATAATTTTCTTTTCGGAAGCTTCCGAATTAACATAACCATCAAACATTCGAAAAGGATCATTTGAACCAATACGTGCTACCAAATGACCAGGTTCATTTGGTTCACACAGTATGCATAATCCAGTTATGGGATCTCTAATAGGTTCTTTAGTGTCTACATCAATTTTAATGATATAGCATGGATAAAAACCATCAATGATTTTTGAAACATAACCAACTGCACCAAACTGGAAGGAAAGTAAGCAAAGAAAGCAAAACAACATCGATAAATTCATAAAATAGAGAATTATAATAACTGTTAGTAATTTCAAAGATCTTCTACAGTAACATGGGAATGAGGTGATAAAATTTACAAAAAAATCAACTTTGGGTTATAATAATTCTTTTCGATTAGTAGATCAAAGTAGACAAATAATGCCATCTTGTAACTCTTGTACTCAAGTAGAATTTTAAAAATTTCATATTATGCCTAATCAGAAATTTAATCACGTCAATGAAATCAACGACATGATCGACTAATCAATGTACCATTTTATGATAGTACACGCTAAAGATTGATAAACATCCCAATAAACATTAAAAAGTACAATTAAATAAATCCATATTTTCAGAAAAGTGGTTTGTGGGAATTGTGGGAATTTTAACAGTGAACTTAATGAGTCAATTTAACTAGACCACCACTGAATACCTGGAAGCACTTGACGGCCGTTTCATCCAAGTATGAAACTCTTCAGCAGTGAGCATCCACGATCCCGCATGTGGGATCATATTTAGGATGAAACGGCTGTCAGGTGCTTCCAGATTTTCAATGATAGTCTAGCTCAGATCGACTCATGAATTCAACTGTTAAAATTCATAGTTGTTTATTTATTTAAATGGTACAAAGGACTATATTAAAATATATATGCGCCACACAAATAATTGAATTTCTGAGTGAGTCATGATACTGCTCGTGTGCCCAAGCCGAAGCAGGTAGCTTTCTGAGAAGGCCACTACCCAAACCTTTGACCCAGAGGTCTAATCCACGAGGTAGTGTGACAATGTTAGGAGATGCAGTCCCATGATAGCCGGTGAGCAACAGTGGGATCAGATGACATTTGTCACCTCAGGATCCTAGAGTACATAAGCAATGCTGCTTTGGAATTAGGGTTTTCCAACGCCCCTAGGTGGGTCCTCCGTACCCACTAACTTGGTTTATACACCGAACATTTCCCTTAGTCCTCTCAATTTTGTAAACAAAAACTGCGCTGCAAGAAGGCAGTGAGTAAGAATTCCCTGACAGTGGCTCTATGCGGATGGCCATACGAGAACATTTCGAGAGGGAGAGCGGACTCTATCAACCCTCAGCCGTACCAGGGCATTTAAGAAGCATATTCGGCCAAGAATGTGATAATATACAATAATACCAATGTAAGTTTTCATATGCTTTGATTTAAATAGGTTAATTAGGTGTATGAACAAGTAAAAGCTTATCATAAATCAACAGATTATTAAACTATACAAAGTATTTTAGTTAGAAATTGGATAAGCTACGTTGCTGAAAAATTAGGCTTGTGGATAAGTGCTTACAATACTCGACCCTCAAACAGTAGATTACAGATCAGAACAATTTTTCGGCTAATTAAGAATTTAGCAAGCTGAATAAAATTGCTAAATCTCATGCAAAAAATGTGGCTCAAAATCAGTCAGCCATACGCAGCGTAAAACCTGATACATATGTGCATCAATTCAGATTATTAGGCCACACCATCATAAGAAGATGGAACTATCAAGATGAATACCAAAGTAGTAGAAGTGATAGTACTATTAATAGTAAAAAAAATTCGGTGCAGAGGATATGAATTGAGAAGGCTAAATAAATTCACATAATAAAAGGTATGAAATGATTTTGAAAGTTAGGATCTATGAAAATATAAAGAGTGAATACGATTGGTTTTGACCCTTATCATTCATTTTCAACTAATGGTTACGACAATCACGTGAAACCCAACCAGATAGCCTGTACCTATGAAGAATTATCACATCAACGGTCAGCAACTTCATGTAAAGGTCCTAAATTTTGGTTTCAGTACTCCTAGTTTTATTCTTAACTATACACTAACCTTTACTCAGTAAGTAAGTTACATTTAAAAACGTAGAAACTGGTTTTGATAACAATAAAAAGGTAGAAACTGATCTTAATTAAAAATGAAGTAAACCTTTGGCTTACTCTTTTGAATAAATGTAATTTACATTTAATATTTACTCAATAAAATTAAAACTCGGCGAAATATTGTTTGTCAAACGTGTGTACCTCTGACTATCTAAAACTATTCATACAATTTAAAAAACTTTGAAATAACCAAAAGAGCGGGTAGACACAATTTACATTAAAAAATATCACAAATACAAATAAAAAGTAATTTATATTGATAGGTACTCCCTCACTTTATTATCCATGTTAGCAATATTAGTATTTGACTCTGTAGCACCATAAAATTCCCCAATCTGTTTAACATTGAAACGTTCTTGAAATGCTTTCCATATTTGTGGTCGCAGACCATTACCGAATGCAATTCGTACATGATGTTGTTTATCTGTTGGTCTTACAGGTTGACATAAAAGATAACGACATATCTCTCCAATGTATTGAGCAACCTGAAATGGGAAAAAAAGAAATTTGATTTAAAGAGAAAAAAACAATAATTCCAATTTAATTGTAGTTGTTATGAAAATTATTTTAAAAACGATTGGTCAGAAAGTACAGACAAGTGTAAAATGTGTTGTGACGGATAGTGTCTGAAATCTGATACTGATACACTGTGTAGTACGCGCTGATCCCTTCCACCCGAATGACTACTTAAGTGAGAAAGTGTACTGGGCTATCAAATAAAATGCACAAATACTAATTCATATATATACCACTCAATTCTTAGGGAATTGACCCATTTCTTAGCCAATGAAATGTATTTATCCTTTAGGTTATCCCTGATTGCCAATGACTGACCTTCTATTACTTCTGGTCGTCTCTCCATATCAAAATAGCTTTTACATAAATGAACTTGATCCGGTATATGGAAGTTTGTAGATATGATTTAACATTCTTGTTTATATTATAATAATTGAAAAATAAGCAAATAACTATCCAATGCTTCTTGACTTTTAACAGTTGTCTAAATAAAGTTAGCAGTCTGTGATATAAACTTTAAAAAAAAAAAAAGAATTCGGCATAAATAACATGAAATCATCATTGAAAGTTGAATATATAAAGGTTAGGAAATGAAATACAATGAATTGATCGATATAAACAAATCAATGGGAATAAGACAATTTCATTCCATAGTTACATAAGCTAATCTACAAAGTTCAAACTTTTACAAACTAATTTTACATAAATAACGGGAAATGAAGTGCAATAAAATTGATTTTTAGAGATAATTTACTGATTAATTAATTGATTAATTGGGGAAAAAAGTAAAGTTCATTGATATATCTTTATTACTTTTAATAACGATGTGACTAATCGGAAGGAAAAACAAAAGGAATATAGTGACTCCGTTATTATATATCTTATTATTATTAATATTAAAACAAGGTAATTATAATGTGGTGTGTACTACTGATGTTGACAGATATAAGTAGTAAGTATCACTAATCGGAAATGGAATACCTGGAGGTAAAAGATTGAGAAAATCGAAGAGAAAAGAACGAGAACAGAGATTGATTAGTATGGAAATGAAGGGGCAACAAAGTCTGAGACAATTGATGAATATTTTGCAAATGAAGTATTTAATGTATGGATCTCATAATTTACCAAGATCTTCTGTAATGTTGTATTAGAGTACATTTGGTTGTCCCCATTGGTGTTCTCTTTCATCACAATATTAGTTGTCAGTAATATGAATAGTAATAATAATTATTACTATAGTAATGATAATAATAATTAGTAAAAGTCAATTTTATTAATTTATATTAAGAATTAGTGCACAAACTAAACAAAATTACATTATAAACGAATAATCCATTACTATAATGTACTTTTTATTTAAAAAACAGGGATCCATTTACAGAATAAAGAATAAAAAATGCATTTATTGAAAAACCGATATAAAAGCATTCATAGACTATTGGTACATATTCAGTAGTTGATTCAATGTGTATAACAAGACGGTTTGAATATTGTATTAGTTGTAAATATAGATAAATCGAATTACAATGAACCACCACCGAGTAAGCAAGCCCTAGGTTAAGAATAGAGTCCAAGGTAAAGATAACAAATAGATTGATGAGGTATTAAATCTTCATCAACTGAAGTGGCTGAGACATGTGTTACCTATACCTAATCACCACATAACTCAACGATTGATGTTTTGTAGTGTAGGAGTAGACTGGAAAAAAGGGGGCAGCCAAACCAAAACATGGCATTAGTCCATAAAGTCACTGGCAATCGGACTAAGCCGTGTTAATAGGCGTAGACTGCCTAGTTGGAATTTGTATGATTATCGTAACCAATGTTTAGAGACTTTGAATGACACGGATCAAAATCATTTGTGATGGCGTACATGTATGCATTCTTTGTTCTACCCCCGAAATCTGAGCTTCTGAATTCTTCATAAAATTTCTTGTTTTTATTTCAATAATTTATATATTCTTGAACTGTATTTTCGATGCCTAATCTTTTTAATCCCTATTCATACTGTCACTACCTCTACTATACTGGGGTTTAGGCTGACAATTTCATCTCTGTGCTAATGGGGTATGTCAACTTGAACAGATGCGAATAAGTACTAGGTTCAACACTGTGACCGACTGACATTGAATGGTGATGAATGATCTCATATAATACAACTTATTAGTCTGATTGTCACTTTCTCCATAAACAAAAGTTGTAAAATTAATTTAAGGGGTTCATGAAGATAGTTGAACACGAAATGGTGAACTTTAACCGTACAATTGTTTACCAATGGCACTGGAAGATGATAATTAATTATGATTAAGTGTAAATTATTCGATGTCAACTCAATGGTCTAAAAGTTCAGTGCTCAAGGTAAAAGACGAAAACATTAGCTTAAATCAACAGTACAATCGTTGATATACACCTCTGAGAAAGCAATTGTTTAATACATCCTAGTTTTTAATGACTGTTTAACTAAGGTTAGTATCAGATATCAACTAAAAACGTTGTAGAAGCTAAACAGATAAATCCGCCTTCTTATGATCAGTTTAATACTTCCATCTAAGAATGATAGGATGTACAGTAAAACAAAAACAATAAGAAAGTTAATTTATAGAAGAAATGAACATTATGAAAGGTTACACTAATATATAGCATATTCTTGTCATAATTACGTCAAAATTTGACCCATTGTTCATATACATACATGAACAAATGCTGTTATGATTCATTATTAATACAAACAGATACATCAAACGCCAGTGCATTTCAAAAACATGTAGTTGCATTTGTAAAGCAAAGGAAATTAAATGATACAAATACTACTACTACTACTACTACTACTACTACTACTAATAATAATAATAATAATAATAATAATAATAATAATAATAATAATAATAATAATAATAATGATAATAATAATAATAATAATAATAATAATAATAATAAACGCTATTCCAATGCTATAAAACAAAGCAAAACAGTTGTTTAGAGTATCATCAACGATAGCGCACTTTTTATGACAGTTTCACTGATTTGCAAACTGTTCAATAAGATTATTTACCAGGTTAATGATGGAATAATTAAAAGAAGTAATTTTTAAAAATATAAAAGAACTAGTCAATTCATTAAGTGTATTTAAACTAAAGAGAAATTAAAACCATAACATTTCTAGGAAACATTGAACTGAAATAGTATACCTAATATGTTTATCGTACAATAAAATAAGTGATAATGAAATTTCCCATTCACATATTTAATAAAAGGATAAACCTATTAAAGTAATACCAATCACTAAAGCCATAATATTGTTATTTATTTATTTATTTATTCATATTTTAGGATAATTATCACTTTGTTTAATTGTTCTGTTAACTATTCATAATTATTTTCATAAACAGGTGAAATTGTAATGCAGTTTAATATATTACTACATGGTTGATATATTTTACGATCATTAATATTACTATTATTATTATTGCCATTACTAAATATAACTATATTACAATATTTGAAATCATGAGTCCATTGAAGCTAGACCACCATGGAAAACCTGGAAGCACTGGACGACCGTTTCGTTCAGCAGTGCCCATACACGACCCCGCCCCCCCCCGCGAGATTTGAACCTAGAATCTATTAGTCTCGCGCGTAAGTGCTTAAGTGCAAGAAAGAGTTTGAGTTTTATTTTAACTATCTTCCAAATTACTAATCTTATTTTATCAACTGAACTCTACTCATTTTATTCCTATCAATGTTTACTTGTTTCTAGCCGTTCGGACTTTTGCCATAATGTTCTTTTACAGAAGGTATATGTTTACAATATTCAGTCTATTAAATTTATTTACACCCTTGCTATACTATACGAATATGTCTTCAACATTAACTTCCAATCAAACTCTTTCATGTAAGTAATTTAAACCCATTATGTAATTATGATTATAAATATCACAGGTTGTAAGTAGCTGACGATAATCAACGAACTAAAAATGAATTCATGCTATTCTGCTAGAATGTTTGTTCTTGCTCTTTTCAAAATCCGTTTTACGAGGTTAGGTTAAGTGTAAGGATAAATTGTTTTTGAATGCATAATAGAGGTTTCAATTACCAAATAACCAAGGCTTCAATAAACCTTAGTGTACATCCTTGAAGGATTTTGTATAACACTACATATGCTGACTTGATGTCAAGATTGTGACCATTCTTCATCAAAAGTTTCGCAACGGAGGATAATGTCTGTCTATCCTGTGATCTTATGTGTGTTCAGATTGTTCGAAATGTATTGCGCTAATATATCATCACATAATTCTCATAAACTTCATCTTCTCATTGGATTATCGAAATTTACCAAAGAGATTAATTGTTTTAAGTGTATTTTCTTTTTGTTCATTTATGTAAAAAACCGAATATATAAATAAGATGGGAAACATTAAAATTATGTTTTCGTTTCCATATCTTGTGACTACATTTAAAGTATTGAAAATCTATCTTTAAGAGAGAAAACATACCAATGACTTACTTTTAAAAGAATAAAATTAGAAATAGAATTTTTCCAATAAAAATCTGAAATTATATTAAAACACTATTCATATGTTTATTAGTGTAAGAGGAGATAAGGATAATGATAAGAGTAATAATAGTAATAATAATAATAATAATAATAATAATAATAATAATCATACACTTGTTTAGAACATTTATATATATAAAAAAAGTAAAAGGTCAACTAGACTAGAAATGGGGTAAGAGGAGACAATGATGATAATAATAAGAGTAATGATAATAATGTGAACACAATTTGAAACCTAATCACTTTGGATAATAAGTCAATATTACCAGGGTAGGTTTAAGGTAAGAACAAACTGTTTTTGAACACACAAAGGGGGTTTGAATTTTCGTATGGCTAAGGCTTCAATAAACCTTAGTATACGCCCTTTTACACTTTTATACAACACTACGAAAGCTGAGTTTAGATCAATCTTGTGACCTGTTTCAATTATATGTTTAGCAATAAAGGATGATGGATGTTTATCCTCTGCTCTTATTGGGTCACTTGATTGTATTTGTTTCTGAAGCCATTTGGGTACATGTTCACTCAACATTAGGGTGTCTAGTTGACCTTTTATTTTTATATATAAATGCTCTTAACAAGTATATGTGTGACCAGATTGTTCGAAATGTATTGCGCTAATATATCACATAGTTCGGATAATCTTCGTCTTCTAATATCATTATCGAAATTTATCAAAGGGACTAATTGTTTTAAATGTATCTTTGCTTATAACTAATATAATTTACTAAGGTAAGATTGTATTTTCACTTTCGAATGTCATGTATAGATACATATTTTTTCTACCCTAAGTTGATTGTATACGCTTTTAGTTGGGTTTTTTTTCAAATCCTTTATTTGATGAACTAAATATATGAAATATATGAATTTTAGAAGCCGTCAAATGCCCTGGTACGTTCGAGAGTGAGGAGAGTCCGCTCACCCTCTTGAAATGTTCTCACATGACCATGTGTATACAACCACTGCCAGGAAATCCTACTCATTGCCTTCTCGTGGTGGGGGTGTTGTTTACGAAATTGAAAGAACGAAAAGCGAATGTCCAGCGCTTTACCCGAGTTGGTGGACACGGAGAGTCCACCCAGGGAAGTTGGAAAACCCTGATTCCAAACCAATGGCGTATGAACCAATTGTTGGTCACCGGCTACCATGGGACTGCATCTCCTGACGTTGCTCCACTGTCTTGTTAACCAAATCTTTAGGTCAAAGACTTCGGATGTGGCTCCCTAAGAAAGCTACTGTTAAAATACGTAATTATCATTTAGATAATATTGAGAGTGTATAACAATCGATGTCATCCGGTAATTCGTATTAAGACAAATATTCATCTATTCGAATTTTTATTTGTAAATTAATCATACTGATGAAATGTTTAACATAAAGAGTATATAACCTACTGTTTTTTTAATTACTTATGTTAACTTTTATGAATAATACCAAAAAACGTTTTGCATTAAACGTGTTGATTACACAACAGATTTGTAAATTAATCAATTCTAAACAAAATGAACTTTGATAATATGATACATTGTTGATAAGTAATAAATGAGTACACTTTTTTTGTATACCCTCTGATAATATTAATTAGATATGTAACAATGAATAAATGTAATTAAATAGGACACTGACAATATATATATATATATATATATATATATATATATATATATATATATATATATAATATATTATTATATATATATATATATATGAGTGAATAGGGCTATTCCAAAATAGTAATCAATAAAGGGAGAAAAAAAAAGAGTGAAATAACAATTTGTTCTAGTAATTAGAGAGTTTTGTTTGTTCAAATTGTCTTTTGTAGGTTAACCGTTCACAAATCATTATAACCTGAATTGTTCACTTATCATAATTGATAATGTCATTTTTATTTTAAAATCAATACAACTATAATCTATGATATATACAAAGATTTAACATATTACAATCTAATCTATTCATTATTATAATGTATATTTTGATTATAAATAAATAATACATTTGTAATATCCCAATGAGTAGAAAATTAGATTTTCTGACGTTTCGTGACTTAGTGTAAATCACTTCTTCAGAGAATAAATAACCAAATTAAAATTAATCCAAGTTTAAATAGTACAACGGAACAATAAGAATAATATTTGATCAATCAAAAACAGGTCAGAACTTGTTCTGACTAAGTCATGAAACGTCAGACAATCTAATTTTCTACTCATTGGGATATTATAAATATTTTATTTATTTATAAGAATTTACCCAATGCTCAATTTATTCGAAATTATCAAATCAAACCTTGGTAATGATACCTATATTTTGATTAGTTTATATTTCAATAAGTAGTCAATTATTTCCACCCACAACCAATGATTATTACCAGTGATATGGAAGGATGTTTAATTTTTGCGATACAATCATCATTATCGTAAAACAATTATATTTTCTTTACAAAATTGATGAGCAATAAAAATGTGAAACTACATAGAATATTTGTTAGAATAGATCATTTCACATAATACACTGTAAACTACATCTATTTATTACTAACTTTCTTTTATGGGCTGATACTGTAGTTTGACTGATAAGAATAAATTTACGTATTTGAATTAATAATTGAGTGGTTAAAAGTTAAGTGATCGCTTCAAGGAAGTACTAATTCATTTAAAACATATTTAATCGTGACTTGTTTTAGGAATTTCAGTATTTTCTTCCAAAAAATGCAAGAACAAATATTGATGCAGATTAGTATGAATTCATAATATTTCGAGGTTTCTCGTCAAATGCTTACAACCAAATATCTAATAGAATTTTACATTGAGATAAGGAAATAGTGTGAAATTGTGTGATAATTTTAGAGGTAATAAAGGATTCATGGAATTAAAACAGTGATAAGATAGGTTATGTTTTAAGGAAATAGAATTTGAAAAGTTAACACAATTTAAGAGGATCAAGTGAGCGGAAATGTGTGAATGAAAAGTTGGTTTAAGAATTAGGTAATAGGGGAGGAATATATCACAAATATTTTAAAATAAATAAATGAATAAAATAACCCAATTAACGAAAAAAAATCGGATTACCAGGGTAATAATAGGTTTATTAATGTCTCTTTTTGAATACATAAATCCGATTTAAGTTTTTTTATCACGATTGCTTAAGCGAAACGGAGAGCAGTCGTACCTTTTTGTCTGTTGATAATTTTAAAGGCGTGCGGGATGTCGATGGTATGCCCGGTATCAAGTAAATGCCGGGCTATTGCACTGTTGAGAATCCTAGTCCCTCGCAGCCTCAGGTTCTTCGGAACACGTGTTGAATGGGTTAGTGATGACATTACGGTTTTAACTAATCTTCATTCCAAAAACTGGTTGTCAATAAAGAAAAAATGATGGAATGACGAATATTTAACCTTGTCAGATCACTGAACGCAACTTAGAGAGTTTGTTTCGTCATAAGATAGTAGATCATGAGGTTACCAAAAGTATCATTATTACTATTACTTAAATTACCATCTTTCCGTATCAATCTGTGCACTGACGGAAAAACCAAACACAAGTCTACTTTTGTCCATATCTCCTAATCAGTACTTAAATCTTATTACCGTATTAGGTAAACTATTATATTTTCTAAGGTAATTCAGGCATAATTTAATCAGCAGTGGTTGTTAGTACAATTTCTTTTTTTCAAAAATGAAGCTTTTTCGTAAAGATCAGTCTTCCTCTCTTCGATCTTCCTCGAGTTCTCGAGTAAAGCGTTATTACACCATTGCTCGTTGTGTATAAAATATTTGCGTAAGATCCATAATCGTGTAATTTCCGTTATTCCGTTTATACTCTTTAGAATAGATTATACAACTCAGATGCACTCACTCTTTAACTGACTTTAGATTCCAAGTTTCAAAACTATTTTATACCTTTAATCCTGTTAAATTATTCATTATCTATGCCTGATTATTTTTTTAATATCACTGATACTACTACTACTACTACTACTACTACTTTGGTATTAATCCTAATGCCATTTCGCCGTTTTAATGTAGTTTAATAACTTCAAACGATGAACATATTTTATAGGTTCTATTTTGTTTATGATTGACTAACTGGGTATAAATAAGATGAACATTGTAGTTAGGGATATCAATAATAAACTGTTTAGCGAAACAAACAAATGACTAATAGACTGTCAATTTAAAAATAGTAAATATCGAAAAATGTGAAAACCTTGAAACATAATAAATAAATGAATAAATAATAATAATAATAGCAATAACTCACTGTGCATTTATATTTTACGCAATCTGACCAAAACTGTGATGCAGAGAATTTCGATCTGATTACAATTGTATTACCATATAATAACATTTGTCCAACTCCACATATTCCACCAGCTGAATGATATAACGGTAGAGGATCATATATAATATCAGATTGCCGAATACCAAATGAGTATTTAGCACCAACAACCAATAGAGTGTAGCGTAGTTTCGTTATAATAGCAGCCTGTATTGATATAGATGAAGTGATAAATAAATAATAAACTTGGAAATAAGGAAATAAAATGTATTCAGACCGTAGTATGAGGTGTGTTTCACATGTACATTTGAAATTCAATGCAGTCTCTGAACCAGTAAAGTACCAGCACTGATCAATATAAATCTACATGTTATTTTTTAAATTTTCATCGTAGAAAAATTTTAGTTACTTAGTTTAAGGGGATGAGTTATTGAGTTTTCAATATTTATCTTTTTAGACCTATTTGACAACCTCTACCAAACACCGATCAATATTTAGATATTAAATCAAATTACCATTACATGTAATCCCGATCTTAAGTTATTTAGCCTATCTATGGATTATTTTCATCTATAGAATAGTTATTAATCAGAAATATATTACAATTTAACTAGTTAAATGAATTGCAAACAACTTGACCCGCTTCAGCAAATTAAACGTAACTTTTTCAATATAAAATCTAACTGTCAAGCACATTCCTCATTATTTGTAAATATATGTGAATATATGTTTAATACCTCATAATTCTAAAGGTTTCTTCAATAAAAGTCTTTACTAATCTATAACTACTTGTCAACCCCAAACTCAATCGAAAATTTCCTGATATGAAATGCACTTGTTTTGTTCTGAATATTATTCTTTTAAGATTTTGAGCTGATGGAAATAATCCAGTAACAAGTGAATCTACATTAGATTTTAACAAAAATTTATAGAGAAAAAGGGAATGTATAAAACTTAATTACATCTGGACGGTAGTAAATACATTTATGTTATAGAACCTGATTAACGATGAATACCGTCAAAAAAAAAAGAAAGCCAAGTCGAAAACTGAGCTGTGATAAAGTACTGAATGGTTATGGAAGCTAGCATGTTACAAATCATTTTATTCTGTAATAAAAATGAAATAACGAAAACGATTAAATATGTAAACATAGCTTTTAACTACCTTAGGCAAACCAGTCGTACCACTGGTATAGACGTAGATCAAATGTTCGCGGAGATTAGCAATTCGTGGAAGTGGAATTGGAGCACAGTGTGGAACTTGTGCAAGTGCTATGTTCCAGCTACACGTTGAAGAAGTTGAATTAGAATAGGCAGTTTCTGGTAAACTTCTTTTCTCATCAACTAACCATATCATCTCCAATGATAAATCATTATACTCATTGACCGTTTCAAAAGCTTCTTTCAAAGAGGAACCCACAACTATTCCACGTGCACTCAGCGTTTTAATACAATTCATAAGTGATCCTTTACAAAGATTAGTATTTACCAGACCAGTCGCAACACCGACCTGTTAAATTAAGAGCGTAAATAAATGTTTTTTGAACAAAACCAATTCTTAGCGAGAAACCGATGTTCTTAGATGCATGTACTAAATAGATGTCCTATCAACTTAAGTAAAATATTCCGTATCTCTACAGGTAAACCTCACCTAGCATATACTGAACTAATTGCCGACTAGTTTTATTGCCATCTTTAAGGTGTGTTATGAGTAATCTACAGAATAGCTACACCAAATTTGAAAATTAACCTGTAAAACTGCTAAAACTGTTCTCTGTTTTGCCAAGTCAATATTGTCTATTATTCTTTGACGTCAGTAGACTCGTGCTTAAAATCTGATGTTCTTTATGTTGAGTCAAAAACGACCAGTTCCTAGTGTTGATCTATAAGAAACTGAGAGTGCTTAACTTCAGTGGAGCATAGTATGACAAACTACTCACCTTGACTATCATTTCAAGATAAATGGCTCATTACACATATGCGATTATCTCCCCACTAGTCTTAGTACTACAAGTAAGCAGCACTATTGTCTATTTCAAGCTTTGGAGTCTGTTAAAAATTCCAAATAATGATTACTACGGCAAAACCAGTTTACTTGGATTTTTACCTCTAAATAGAAGTGATTTCTAAGCCCTGAGAATTGTTAAGCAATAATACATATCGCGGTATACTCCCAAAACAATCGATTATCCTTCCGAATTAATACTGCTCTTGTAAACTTCCAGCAGATTACTGATACAATTTTGTCTGATAATTTTATTGATACAGTGCATCTAGGTGATGCCCTCACTGTTACTAAATGACTAGATGAACTTCATAATTAAACCATAGCTGTATTACCACGTATATATGAAAATAAATTTTAGTCCGAAGCTAGGAAATATCAATCTTCGAAATTAGTGAAACATCAGGGGTTCATTTTTAACACCAATGTTCATTGACTTGGTACAGAAGACATTCAGGCCATACACCGATGATCTCAAGTGTATTGTGGCGGCCTTGAAGACTATAAACGCACAAAGTAAACACTACGGTAGGTTAAACTACACACATTAGTATGACTACCAAGTAACACATGAAATTAGTGACATAATATCACAGAAATCACTTCCACAACACGAAATAAACTTCTAAAGAAACTGATAACCTACCTTAGTTGCTCCTAGCCATATTCCAATATATGCCGGACACGAATTCATAAACAGCAGTAATATATCACCTCGTTTAAAACCACATTTCGCCAGATAATTGGCTACTTTATTTGAATACGCATCCAGCTGCCTAAAGGTCCATACTTGGTCCTCAAAATAAATAGCAACATTTTCTGGTCCCCGTTTTTTTACAGTATATTCAAACATGTCGGAAAAAGTTCGTTTCGTCCATTGGAGCCAGAGAACATTTAACTGAACCATGAGTATGCATCGTAGTCCCCTATTGAACAAACAATATTATCTCATTATCCAGACTAATACAATCGTATTGTGCATCAAATTGTAAACATTCAAAACACAAAATTCCCAACCAAATGTCTGGATAGATGAACATATAAAAGTGGGTCTGATAATACACATTAAAGTCCTTAGATCTAAACTACGAAACTAAAGGAAAGGTCAATTAAGTTGGAAAAAGAAGGAACAATTAGTAGCACAAATTCCGATTAGTCAACAAACAATAAATTCGCTGGTAGCTTTATCACCTATTGATTGGTCTGCCAAGGGTAGGATGCGTTCAAATTTCTTTATTATATACCATAACGCCAAATTCGGACACCTGATACTACCGATATCTCTGGACTACACCATGAAAATAGACCGACAAAGGTTATTTGATACGATTTTGGTAGTGACTAAGTTTTTTATCTGAAAAGTAAAGGACGTGCACAGGTTCCAGTTATTATCCATCGAGTGAGTAACCTTGAGTTTTAGGAAACATCGAGCCGACTGATGAGGCTATAAGTCATCACAAAGACAGTGCTGTCCTAGAGATGGTGCAACACAGTGGTTAGAGACGTTATCAGGTATGGCTCAGAATAGAAGCCAGTGACGATTCAGTCGTAAATTTCTTCATAAAAAATGGACGTAACTTCTTTAACGGAGAATTATTATTATTATTGTTTCACTATCATACACTAAAATCTGTTCGTTATTGTTCTCGTTTTTCTTATACGAACTTTACATTCCCTATCTCTTCACGTTCTCATTGTTATTGAATGGCGCATATGTATTTGGTGCCCCTTTGAATCAATATTTGTCTTCAAATAAATAAATAAATCACAGACTGATGTGCCTGAAATATAACACATCTGCATAACTGACATTTAAAGGTAATTTGTGACTGACTGATTCGTTTTTACTGATAGCCACAGAATGAAATAAGCTGACGATGCTGAAATACAACGGGTTATGGGTGAAGCCATAATTTTAAAAGAACTCAAAAATATGCCATGTACGTTAATGAAAGTAATAAGTTACGAAAATGACTATAATATGCACTATAAGACGACCGAATGTCATAATCATTACCGTCAGCGACACTATCAATAAAAAGACCAGCATGATGATTCCTGGTAAGAACATACAACGGGAGTGATGGGCAGATTTTTACACTTCAATACATCTTGAGTACTGTTAACATTTGGGTTCTAGCTCATATTGGATGTCTGTCTTCATAAAATAGGCCAGAGAGACATTAAACCACTTTAGTCTCTCGTCGATGGACTCGTTCCAGCATAACCGCCTCACACTTGAAACAAGGACTTGCTGCTTGAATCCCATATTCCGAATGCGGTCTCATGAAAGTCGAGTATAATACTCTAAACATTTATTCATCTAAGTACTGAAAAGACCTATGAATAGCCCATAATACCCTATAGTCTTTTCCAGCAGCAGCCTTACAGTTACTAGTAGTTTTGAGATCGCTGCTTATTATCTTTAGTTTATTACTTTGGGTAACACGAATCCACGTATTGTGTAGTGATACGAATCATCATAGTTATTGAATTACATCACCACACTCGTTAGAATTCACTTCTAGAGAACATCCGTCCATCCATGCCACCAATGAGTTGAGATCATCCTGTAATATTACTCTATCTAAAATACTGTGTATGGGTCTCCAAATATTTATGTAATCGGCGAAGAGTAGAACGGATGACTTTGCTACAGTTGGTAATTCATTTACATAAAGTAAAAAGAGAAGATTACTAAGGATTGTACCTTGGGGAACTCCACTTTTTACAGGTTCCCACGATGAAAGAGCTCCATTTACCCTTACCCTGTCTCCTGTCATGGAGAAAGTCATTTATCCAGTTTATGACCTCATAATGGAATACAAAACTTTCCAGATATAACTTAAGACCCGAATGGGAGATGTTATCAAAAGCTTAACTTAAATCTATGAAAATTACATCTACAGGGACATTTCGACCTCTTGCCGTAGACCAATCTTCTCTTATAACGAGCAGACTTGTCAAACAGGATGGGTCTTTCCGAAAACCATGTTGTTCCCTGGATAAAAGATTACGCCCTTCCACATAATTTATAACAGCCATATGGATAATATTTCCCATTAGTTACTAACTAAATCTCTACACCTCGTCTTATACACCGGACTAATTATTACATCTTTCCAGTCTCTTGACAGTACGGACTGCCGCAGAGTCACATCAAACAGTATGACTATAGGTTCAGCAATTACATCCAATAGGGCTTTTAGAATCCTAGGATGAATATCATCAGAACCACCGGCACCATCTCTTGCCAAAATTAACGGATTTTATTGTACCAAAAGTAATGGAACTTCATCACTTCTCTGAGTTCGTCATCTTATATACGAAAATAACCGTTTCGGACTATTTTTACAATATCTAACCAATTGTTTTCATACGACCGTCTAGTCTTATTTATCAACGCTTTACAAGCATTTCTAATCTAACAATAACTGGATCTGTGCTGTTCTAAGCCAGTAGAGATGAACATATTTCAATGCTTTTTCCTACCCATGGTGGATAGCTATTCGGTCTAAGTGGTATCAGACATGGTATAAACGGGGATGTAACTTAACTAAACTTGCCTTTAAATATGAACCCTACTTCAGCTGATGAACTAGTATCTACTGACCAATCTGTCTTACCAGCACACTCCTGAATGGCTGATATGTTAGCTTTCCATATATTGGGGTGAGGCTTAACCTCATTATATACCATGTCACTAGCTCTAAACGTGAATGACAAAACAGCGTGATCGCTATTCACTAACGGTGGAAGAGTATTTAGGTTGGTAATATCTTCAGAAGAACCCTGGTTTGCACCAAAACGTGTAGGTCTGGATACACGCTGTACTAATGCATTCTCCATTACCGTTATCAGGAGTCTACTATTATGGGAGTTCATAGATCCTACCATGGCCACTTCAGTCCAACTAATATCAGGTGCATTAAAGTTTCCTAATATCAAACATCTGTTATTTCCACTCCATAGCTGAGTGTACTGTAAAATAAAGTCATCAGGTGAGCAGATTGGGCTGCGATAGATAACACCGAGTATAAATGTACAACATCAGATAGTCACCTCACAGCTAATGACTTCACAAGTTCCACTATTATGGGATTCGCAAACAAAGGAGCGGATACTTATATTACTGGCTATGTATAAAACGACGCCACCTCCTTTCCTACACCTATGTCTAGCATTCGCTCCCAAGATCTAACTATTCGAAAACCCACTAATCGGAAATTTTCTTCACCGTTTGGTCGACGGGTTTCTAGTTCAGCTGGTGCCGACTTCCTCTTCATCTTCTATCTTCTTCAGGTCTTACTCGAATGGCGATATTGTCGTGACTACGAGCGCTATTTAACAGATCACGTTGCTTCTCCAAAACTAGGATTGACTTAAGGAGTCTATATGATTGGGATTCAACACAGTCATCGGTCCTATCACCTATTCTTATAAATTTTTTGACCTGAACTCCTTCAAAATTATCCGTTAAGATACCACAGATAAGTTCTCCGAGCTTTCCCAAATCATGTGCGTGTCTAATTTTGGGATCAGGATCGTTTAACTCTAGCAAATTACTCCCAATAATATTCGATGAGATTAAATTCTCAGCCACGCCAGGGTGGAGTTTCGTCTTACTATCGAATTTCGGTAGTGTATTTTTTAATCAGAATAGGAGTTCACCAGTGAATTCATAACGAAGTTTGTACTGCTTATAGATTTTTTTCCCTTCACTTCTTTTTCACCGTACTACCGTCCATTTTTCATTACTCAGGACAGCAACACCGGGACTGTTAGGAACGGTGACGGTTTTATCCCAGTTTTCAATTTCTGCTGGTGTGCGATTACCCATATCAATACCAAGTGGCACTTCACTCTTCGTTAGTTTTAACGGAAACTTTACTTTTCCGTCAATCACAGTCGAGTGTTTAACGCGTCACGTAACAGCAGAGACTACACTGACATATTCCTCACTGCCAGTACTCGTGTTACCAGGGCAAGCACCACCTTTCTTTTTACAGGTCAAAATTAACAGGCTCATAGCCTGTTGTATCAGTAACGTCTTATTCGTACAGCAAAGCATACAAAGAAAATGAGAGTATGGCTTCAAGCATCTTTTGTACACGACGGGACCTAATGGGCATACATATTATGGAACCCCTTTTTACACTCATCACATTACATTTCTTCCTCCACGGGGAATATACAATTTGGTTGTCCACATTTACAAGTACTGCGAACCGCTGTAACCAGATTAGGACTTAAAATACAATATGAATACGTGTCAATGAGAAATAAGGTACCACAAGACAAAGTCCAGCAAAATTTCTAACCCTAACCAAAACACCTCAAATTATAGTAAACCAAGAGTGCTTTGCGATGCAACAAATACACAAAAGCAAAGATTATCATAAGTACCAAATCACTCGTTTCAGAAACGCGTGCGGGTTAGAGAGCAGTATGAGTAATTAGAATTATGATTTACGAGTTCAAAGGTTTGGATTAGGAATTAGACAAGGGGTTTTCATCACGAATCGACATCAGCAATTATGCCGAAATAGTATTTAGCCAAACGAGTGTATGAATTTCGCGCTAAAATCTGAAACCTGTTATCTTAGATTCAATTAGTTCGTCCATAAATTATGGTCTCACCACTATGAATATATTTCGAAAATTCGTACTGACATAAAGTTTTACCTAAAACAAAACAACTTACATGAGGTCTCTGAGAAAAGTTAAAATAAAGATGCGTTGATAGCGCCAACCTCCAAGAGATACGTACAATAAGTATGAGACGACAATGGACTCAAAAATTGATCTCCGGAGTAACAATCTAAGTGCGAATATGGATAAATGAAAGACGAAACATGGTTGCCAGTTGATCGAATGCATTGTGCATCCATATAGCCTTTCAAACATACGCCCAGCGTCCCATTTTAAAAGTTGACAAGGTCATCTTCGAAGTTGGCGATTCATTAAAACATCAGATTTCAGATTTGTGTAGCAAGGATAGAAGGCCAGCGACCTATATTATTCCTTTTCTAGTATGGTTATGTGATTGTCCAGTCTTCTCTTGAAAGAGTCAATAGAAGGTGCAGACACCACTGCTTCGGGCAGCAGGTTCCAAGTATTGATGACTCGGTGTGAAAACCTGTATGCCACGGGTATTTTGTTCGTTCCTTGCTTTTCTTTTCACGTGCTATGTCCCCTGAGATGTCCCGATCTAGTGGGAAGGAAAAGAGAGAATAAGTCATTTCTCATTTTTCTGTACATCAAAATTAGATCTCCCCCTAATCTGTGATAGGACAGAGTAAAGAGGTTCAGCCTTTCAAGCCGCTCTTTGTATGGTAAACCACAAAGTTCTGGAATTGAAAGGGTAGCTGACCTCTGTACGTTTTCTAGGATATCCGAGTCACCTTTTAAAAAGGGGCTTGCGGCCTGAATGCAGTCCTCAAGCTTAGTTCTCACTAAGGATGTATGTACTGTGGTGAACATGGTAGTATCTAACTTAATGAATGTCTGTTTTAAAGCCCAGAGGGTTCGAAACCCCTTGGCTGCGACCTCATGGCAATGGGCCGTCATGACTCACTGTCACCCCTACATCCTTATGAGACCGGACCACGGGTAATGACACTTCCCCTATGTTGTACCTGTTAACCTTTGAATCCTCAAAGTAAATGTAGACACGCTTTGCCGCGTTGATAGGCACCAGCCACTCGAACGCTATATAATACATTTTAAATCCCCAGTAATCCCTTAGGGACATCAAATACTCTCCTCGATTTACCAAGTTTTCGGTCATATTTGAAACAAGTTAAATGGCTTTTAGTCTCAAGTCTTTCGTTGTAGAGTCTCAAAGTGTCATCCAGTAATTCTGCTTGGAATCCTTGGTGTGGAATAAACCTCAAAATTTTAACGTTATCACCAGAAGTTTCTGTTGATTTTTGTTCAAGCTGGATGTTAAAACATCGATATTTAATTGTGTAAATGAAATATCGGTTGTAAATACATAAACCTATATGTGTATTGGCCTCCATAAGGTGTAATCAACTTCATATTTCGCTTACAAAATTGACAAATCATCTTTTCCCGTAAATATTCTTCAAAGTGATAAGAAAGCATTGATGATAAAGGAAAGACATGGTTCTTCCTGCATTCCTTCTGAAACTGAAGGACAAAACAGATCATTTATAATTATCGCGAAATAACACTGTCTGTAATCACCCTCAGAGCCTATGGAACTTGGTCGAAAGTTGATTATACTGAAGATGACACAGGTATTCAGTGTTTGACAACGTTCCTACTAGTAACACCTAATATAATTCGTAACCACCCAGAGAAATCAAAAAACAGAGTCGAGGAGATCGGAAGAGTATATTTGGCGATCTAATCTGGCGATTGAGGTTGATGTTGATCACGGCGTTACCACACGTGATCTGGTGCGGATACCTGACCGAGCGCCTTCAGCTAGATGAGTCCACTAAAACATATGGTCAGCATCCAATGTCGAAAACTTACAGGGCTATTTATTTTGGGGATTTACTTACCGCTACAATACTTTTAAATGATAAAAGATTAGAAGCTGTTGTAATAACTAAATTTGGACGGTTGAGAGTTAGATAAAAACGTCTTGGTAATACCAAAATATTACAGCTTATGAAATTAGTTATTTTATAGGGCAAGTGAATTGTTGCTGGGCCTTACGTAAATCGTCTGGCAGTTGGGTCACTGAATACCGAACAGCTTATCGATCCTCGCCATATCCAAGGACAACCAACGCGCTTCAGTTAGTTACAATCCATAAGCTGGTCCATTAGGTTGTGGTCATTTCGTACTGTTGAGTTCCTTCCCTTTTATTGATGGAACAAACCCGACTAGTGATGGGTAGTTCTTTACCTTGAATATGAGCAAAGTAGTTGGAACGTGGAGTTGTCTTTTCTGAACGCACAAAGCCTTTCGACATTCAATATAAAATAGTGGGAAGTATAATGTCCATACAAAGTAAGATAGTGAATGAATATGTAGAATTATAGTCTACTTCGTCATTAGTACTGCTCTAATAATAGACCTAATACCAAAATTGTAGATTTGTTATGAGTTAACTGCCTAATCTACAAGATCTTACGTGAAAGTCAAGTCATTGTCTTCACTGACTCATCGTATCGTAACAATCACCAATATATGATGAAGAACACATTTAGGCTGGAAATAGGACAATATATTTAATATGAATAAGAGTGGTAAGCTACACAATAATGATCACGCCTGCAAGGCTGAATGATGGCATCTGTTTGAATTGAAGTTCCTCCTTCGTTTTCCATAGTTAACCGTCTCTTCGTGTCATTTGTTGGATATAAGTGTTTTCAGTAGTTATATGCTTGGCTTCAAAGGTCGTGTGGCTAGGTTCCGATACCATCACAAATACTTGGGCCCTTTTGTTTTGGCATATAATTAAGTGTGTGAGGTCAACTCCTAATTCATCAACTTAAGTTATTACATTAGTTTCCTTCTAGAAACTACTTAACTCCGCCTGTAGCTCTTATAGGGTTACTGCCGGTCCCAAGCCCGGGTAAAGGAGGAGGGTTGGGCATGAGGTTAGCGTCCACATCCCGTAGAAAACTAACTCGCTAATAAATGCTTACCGGAAAAAATAATTCAAACCATTTTAACTCTGCCCTGGGAGTTAGAAGGTCTTCATTTAGAAGAATTATGACGCTTCATGGTGAAAGCCGAGTTCCTTCGGAAGCCACGAGGCCGATGCCCCTTCTAACAACCAGAGCAAAAATTTTTATAGGTACATGGAACGTTCGAACAATGTGGGGAACCGAGAAGACCAGTCAAATATCAACGGAAATGAGGAGATACAATTTAGCAGTACTGGGAATCAGCGAAACCCATTGGACCCAAGCTGGACAGAAAAGGCTAGCTACGGGAGAGATGCTGCTATACTGCGGTCACGAAGAGGACAATGCTCCACACACTCAGGGAGTCGCTCTTATGCTGTCCAAAGTAGCACGAAATGCACTTGTAGGATGGGAATCTCACGGATCCAGAATCATCAAAGCATCATTCAAAACAAAGAAGGAGGGGATCTTAATGAATATTATCCAATGTTATGCACCCACCAATGATAGCAACGACGACATTAAAGATCAATTCTACGAGCGGCTGCAGTCAGTGATAGAGAAATGCCCAAGAAAGGACCTCACCATTCTAATGGGAGATCTAAATGCCTAAGTCGAAATAGACAACACTGGATATGAAGATATTATGGGACGACATGTACTGGGAGAAAGAAACGAAAATGGAGAAAGATTTGCAAATCTATGTGCATTCAACAAATTGGTCATAGGAGACACAATATTTCCACACAAGCGTATACACAAGGCTACATGGATTTCACCGGACCATACTACAGAGAACCAAATAGATCATATTTGCATCAACAAAAAATTCCGAAGGACAATGTAAGATGTGAGAACCAGGAGAGGTACTGACGTAGCTTCAGATCACCACCTAGTTGTAGCCAATTTAAAACTGAAGCTAGAAATGAACTGTACAAGTGGACAAACAGCAATAATAATAATAATAATAATAATATATTTCTGCATGTGCAGGTACACACCGTTTTTACAGGCATGATCTATAAATTACAACATTTTTCGGTTCGCAAAATGCTTCCCAACTTATTAAGTTTATAGTTGTTATAAAGTGAAATCGTAGAGCGCTTGCTGTAAACTATGACCTTGAGAGGACGCATACGTCAGGTTTGCTCCAAACGTCAGAAGTTTCATAGCTGTGCTCTCAGAGCAAGATTCTGAAAAAGAAAAAAAGAGAAACAGAAGAGCAGCAAGGCACTTGGATATGAACGCCAAAGGTTGCTTAACATTGTGTAGTAGTACGGACAGAGGTAGAATAAATCAGAATAAATTCATATTTTGTATTGTTAGAGTGAAGTCCGAGGCTCCATATTAGAGAATGTACTAATAAAGAACAATGAGTTGTGATATTTAACAAGTTGGAGTAAGCTCACATGAAGGAAAGGAAGTCAAGGTTGGTACAAGGGAAGCGGTTTATTAGAAGGGTGTGTATATAGAGGGTGTAGTGTTAAGAATACTAGTGACTATATCTTTTATTGCCTTTTTTCTTCTTTTGTCCATCCAATGTCGGCCACGCAATCCTAGTGTAAAAGTCCGAGTTAGCATGTTATAGGTTGTCTTAGTAGAATAGCTAATCCAGCATAATATTGGAAACATGAGTCTGAGTGGTGAGCGTAGGAAGACAATCTATATCTCAGATTGACTGTCTTATTCTCAATTATAAAGAGCCTGGTACATACAAAATGCTCTGTCCCCACAAACACGGGTGGATTGAAGTTATCGCCCTCACCATCAATGCTTGCTAGTCAGTAACTCCACCCTCCCTCCTTTTGTGATGTTAGGCTCATTTAGGCTTATTTTTTGTATACACGTCATACCTCACACAACCCTCTGTTTCACAACCTGTTGGAAAGCACTATTTCTATAAGTACCATTTTACAAGCTTATCAGGCAGTTACAAGCTATGGACTGCGGGTAAAGCATCGATGCAGTGCCTCTGTTGACTATAGTATAAAGTATAGTTTGCCAATCAGAGTATAAGTGTTAAGAAGGGTATATTGTAGGATAGTTGTTTATTTAAGCAGGCGGAAAAAGTATAGAAGTATATGAGTTGTGGATAAGGGACCGAGTGGAGAAATAATATTAATTGCTAGTCAACATAGTGTACAGAAGAGTAAAATGTTAATACAGGATAAACAGGAAGGAACTCACAGTAACTTGGTGTTGATGTTATTTTCTGTTGTCTTAACCAGTTGATTGGTAACAGGTTCCATAGATGCAAGACCACTGGTAGTAGGCAGCCGATTGTGCGGTCCTCTT